TGTCAGACACTTCCCAGTGATGATGAAAACATTATGAATTGAATGCAAAGTGTGTCTGTAAACAATTCTGACTTAGTCATAATTTAACAATAATTTTTATATTATGTATTATAGAAACCAACTAGCAGCTCTCTTCCAAACAAACCCGATTACACTAGTTTTCAATGGCAGAGGGAACGACTCCATATTAAACACGTTATATTACATGCATATGCATATTTACACATATGTATTGATTGGTTTTGTCATGCATTAACAGATAATGGCCAGTATTAGCAATCTGAATGGGAACAGTATGCCAGTGCGCTAACTCTACTAGCATTTCGTTGCGTACACCATAATATTATTGCAACGTGCATGAAACTTATAGTCACAAAACATTCATCACTAGACCTCGAGTTAATTAGCAGCTGAGCTAAGCTACCAAGTTACAGTGGAGTATGACTGAGATGACTCTTCAAAGTGGTTTATTTATGCAAGTGTCAAAGCGAAATTCGATAGAGATGTAAAGAAATGTAAGAAAAGATTGTGGATGTAAACAGGGTATATCTTCTGGTTGTGAGTCTGGAGAGGGACCCGAGGGCTCGTACGCCGGCCATGTTTGGAGGTCAGTGTGTGTAATGACAGACAGACAGCAGGCGGAAGACTGCACAAGACTGGAGGAGGAGGAAACATGCGTTTGATTAACGTTACACCACAGCCACAGACCTGCTGCTGATCACGAGCAATCCACCAGCTCTAGAACACTACCTCAGGTCATGAGTTCATGTATAAGATGTGAAAAAAATATTTGTATATTACAAATATATAATATACAAATATATTACAAAAAAATTAATTCATTTGATAGAATTAAATATTTCTGCATAATTATAGGTTACTAATTAAATTAGCTTCTCAAATCATATGGATAAAGCAAGCAAAGGGACATTTATTACTAACACATTTGAAATTCGTGTACATTTTACTTTAAACTTTTTACTCAATAAGTTATGCTGAAAATATAATTTTGCATCACTTTAGGACAAAATACATCAGCAACAGAGGGACCCCCAGTTTATATATCTACATACATATGACTTTGTGCATGTGGTTTATGATCATTTAATGCATGTAGGCAAAGTTTAGTTTAATTAAGATATTAGTTTTTATTCGTATTTTGAATTAATTTTCTGTCATAATTTAATTTTCTGTTACATATTTATGTTTTCATTTCTAATTTTATTTTTGTTTCAGCTTTACTCTTAGTTAGGTAGGTACATCAACTTAAACTAAATGAAAATAAAAATCATAATAAATAAGTTTAGTTTTTGTTATATTTGATTTCAGATAACTTTTATTTTATTTCAAGTTTTTTTTTAATGGATTTAATTTGCTTTAGTCAACTAATAACCCTGATAACTAATAATATCCCCACAATTACTTGAAAGCCTGCAATGTAATGTTCATCCACAAGATGTCAAACACGCAATAAAATAATCTCTGTAAGACACACAGTGCATGGTAGGCCATTAGTACTAACTTTGTAATTTACTCCCCTTATTGTTTGTACAGTCTGTATTTATTTCCCGCACTCGTCTTTAGTATGACTTTGCTATATTTCTTATGTTGTAACTAAAGTTTCTTAAAGTTATAGTTCACCCCAAATTAAAACTCATAATTTTCTTTCCTTCGATGTACTTTCTTCTGCAGTAGCCTACACAAAAAAGATTTTTAGTAAGTATTTTTAATAACCCTGATAACTAATAATATCCCCACAATTACTTGAAAGCCTGCAATGTAATGTTCATCCACAAGATGTCAAACATGCAATAAAATAATCTCTGTAAAACACACAGTGCATGGTAGGCCATTAGTACTAACTTTGTAATTTACTCCCTTTATTGTTTGTACAGTCTGTATTTATTTCCCGCACTCGTCTTTATTATGACTTTGCTATGTTTCTTATGTTGTAACTAAAGTTTCTTAAAGTTATAGTTCACCCCAAATTAAAACTCATAATCTTCTTTCCTTCGATGTACTTTCTTCTGCAGTAGCCTACACAAAAAAGATTTTTAGTAAGTATTTAGGCTCTGTAGGTCTATACAATGCAAGTTAATAGTGACTCAAATTTGTAGTTTCATGTAAAAGCACCATAAAATAATCCAAATAAATCAGTTTTGGGTGAGATCAAACCCGTTCATTTATTTATGTATTTATGAATGATGTCTTTGGTGATCGTGATTGCAAGGGATTACAAGGTTGCCAATAAATCAAAATTACCAAAATATTACTAATACTTGGGAACGATATTGTTGTGAGTTGTTAATTTGATAGTAATTTGCGCTTTTGCATTACCAACTAAGCCCCACTCACACCAAGGACAATCACTACAAAGATAACTATAACGATAACTATATTAGCACTAACACACGACAACATTCTGTTTATTATTTATAAGCATGTGCTGCAGTTGTGTCCTCCTCAAGCTCTTTAAAGCAGGATGGATTCTGATTGGCTGTCAACAGTTTTATCCTTCATTTTGAAAGACATTTTAATAATAATAATGTTCCACTGTGCTGTGGATTCAGCTATTATTTAAAATGCACAAAGATTTCTAACACTATATCTTTATTGTTATTATTATAGTTAGTGCCCTTGCTGTGAATGAGCCTTTAGTAAGTAATGAAAGGACTAAAAAGTATGAATAAATTATGTAGCTGGTATGTCATGTGTTTACTGGAAAGTAATATCAATGATGAAGCACTATTGTACTAATCAGGCAAAAGGTTGTGTTCTTTATATTTTGTTCTTGCGTGTTACAGTGGTCTCATTGTAAGGCTTGTACTTTCACAACGAGTTCCATCTGAACTCGGGACCGTTCTCACATGATAAACTCGGTCATCCCCAGCCCCTTCATCATACTCTCAGTTCAACAGTCAATAGGTTCAAGTGAACTTTTCCACATTTAACCTGCTTAAGAAGCAAAAAAAAAATCTCCTTAGAGATTTACAGCAATGCAGACAGCACACTGATTGCTGCATAACTGTCAATAGCTGTCAATCAATTATTAATTGTTACAATAGTAGACACACATCAGGTCTCTTATCCTAGAGAATTGATTTGAAGACTATGCAACGACTGAATAAGAACCATTCTCCATTGTTCTGAAACAGGGCCCCATACACTGCTTTACTGATTGCATCACACTGCCCTCATTAAGTGCTCCCCACCCTTATCCCAATACTGTTGTTTCATAACAAGCATCCCCTGATCCTCCACATGGCCGTGCAAGAGTAGAAATCTATTTAAAGAATTTAACCTACTAAAGACTTATCTCAGTGTTTGTGTGCTTTTATACGAGTGCAGTTGGTTCCAAGGTCCATTAAAGACATGATCTGTTTGTACAGCTGTGCAAGGAGCAAGCTGTTATTTTGTGCGAGAGGACGCCACTGACTGCTGCATCTCATGTTTAAATCAGGGACAGTAACATGGATGACTCATAAACCAAATAATAGAATATTAGGTTCCTTTTGCAGCGTGACTAAAAAGATGTGTTCTTTAATAATCATGTATATTTTAATAATAAACTGTAGTATATCTTAAAGGAATAGTTTGCTCAAAAATCAAAATTTGCTGAAAAATTACCCACCCTCAGGTCATCCAAGATGTATTTGAGTTTGATTTATCATCAGAACAGATTTGGAGAATGTAGCATTACATCACTTGCTCACTACTGGGTCATTTGCAGTGAATGGGTGCCGTCAGAATGATATAAAAACATCACAATAATCCACACAACTCCAGTCAATCAATTAACATTTTGTGACATTAAAAGCTGTATGTTTGTAAGAAACAAATCTATCATTAAGGTGTTTAAATTTAAAAACCTTTGACCAAAAATTCCAGTTCATAATCCATAATAATACTTCCACCAGTGAACATGCGTCAATCCCCCGTTGTCTTCTCACATCAAAATGTACTGACATATTTGTTGAGAACTGTTTAGAACAGTTTGCTCTTGTAAAACAGTACTTGATCTGTGCATATTTCTCTCCTGACTTAGACGAGACGACTTTATTCACTGGAGAAAGCAGTGTTATGGATCATTTAGCAGCTGTTTTAACTCTCATTCTGACGGCACCCATTCATTTTCTAATTTCATTCCAATTTAAATTTTTAGGTAAACTATGCCTTTAAAAACAGAATGAAATGATAACAGTATGTAAAGCAGAAAAAAAGAGAAATGCTTTTTTAAATAAATGTTTTCAATAAATAAACATTATATATTTCTGTGGATTCTTTAATATATTTGAAATAAACCACAAAAATATTTAATTAAAAAATGTTTACGATGCCGAAATTGGAATATTATAGGAATTTTTCTCGTTGTTGAACATGTATGCCAGCATTTGTTCGCAAAAGTGTATGATAGTTTCATTAAAAAGAAAAACCCTAATACGACATGAATTAGCATATTCTTGGATTATAATTTAAACTATTTATGAAAAATAACATCTCCTATTAATATGCATCAATGTCTTCATTTTTAATATCTATCTATCTATCTATCTATCTATATAGCAATCAATAAGAAACAACATACAAAATATTGTAAAATTAAAAATACAATTATATATCAGGTTTATATATTGAACACAGCATTAAATCTAATGTTGTTGGGTTTAACAAACCCAACTCTCTCAAACATACTTCTGTAATGAGCAGATTTGAAATAGTCTTTAAAAACACACTAATATGCCAGGAATATGCATATTCTTGAAGTATAACAAACGATTTATGACTAAATAAATATCTGCTATTATTATGCATCAATATGTCTTCATTTGTAAATACGTATAGTGACCTTTATTACCCATCTATCTAGAAATCAATAAGAACCAGTATACATAATGTGAATAAAGTTGTTTTAATTTTTTTTTATATATATCAGGATTATATACAGAACACAGCATGAATTGATGAACTGAATGTTGTTGGGTTTAACAAACCCAGCTCTCTAAAAGACATACTTCTGCAATAAGCAGATTTGAAATAGTCCAGACAATTGCCCTACTTTTTCCTGCAACAATCAGCTGTGAGCAAATAGACATGTGCAACTCATGCAATATAATGTCCTTCTTTAGCTAAACCGTTGATTCCATCTCCGTATGTACAGTATCCTCCACTTCAGTGTGCCTGCAGGACTTTTCTTTACTCTTAGTCAACTCCGACTCTGGCTTAGCTCTTTTAGTCGGATTACAACATAGCTTGGGTTTGCATTGACTTCGACAGGAAAGCTCACACTGGGAGTCACCAGATCCTTCAGAAATGGGAGAAAATTCTGGCTGAACAGTAGTAGCATGGATACCTTCATCGTGGAAGATGTCTTTAATGCGTTTGGCAATGTCCATGTAAGAAGCTGGATCCGTGCACTTGATGTGAGCGGTTGCAATAATGCGAGACCCAGCCAGCTGCCAGATATGCAAGTCATGAACGGCCTTAACTCCATCCAAACTCCTTAGCTTCCCATTCAGCTTGTGCATATCGATCTGTTTGGGGACTGTTTGTAGGAGAATCAGAGCCGACTCCTTTAGGAGAGGGAAAGTTGTGTAGAGCAAAATACACACCATTATTAGACATAACGTTGGGTCCAGGTAAAGCACCCAGCATGGTCCGGCCACAGAGACAGTTCTGGGCATCCTGTCGGGTGTTTTGGATATGCTCAGGACTGTGGTATTAACATGTTGGTGTTCAGTCAAGTGGCTGCTACGGCAGGGGTTGAAACAGACTGTGTCGCTGTGGCATGGTGTCCACACAAAATTGAAGATCAAGGCGTTGACTACCACAATGACGGACCCCAACGCGTCTCCGAGCACGTGCAGGAACACCCCACGCATGTTCATCTGGGAGGCCGACTCAGGACTGTGATCCAAGTCCTCCAACGAGCCCTTAGCAGTGATTATGATGTTTAGGCTGTCTGGAAAAGTCAGCAAAATGAGCAGAAAAATAAAGATGAAGAAAGCATTGTTTTTAATTATACATGTTTTTCATTAGGTTGTGTGCATAAAAATGACGGCCAAGCTATTTCTTCAAACTTCTTCAAGGGTTTTAATTTTTTAATCTAATTTTTTAAAAATACTAATATTATAGATTTTTTTGCACTAAAAGAGGCAATAAGTAGAAGAAAATATTCACCACAGAAAACTGCGTTGGCTTTTAAGACACCGTTCCACGCTTTCGGAGTTTCCATTTTTTTGACTGCATACCAATTTCTAGCTGAAGAAATACTAACTACAAAATAACATACTATGTACTCATGTACACACTATGTACTTATTATAGTAATTAAAATAACTAGGTACTAACCCTGAACCTACCCCTACCCCATGTAGTTATCTTGTATTACAGTACTTTCTTAAGTAAGTACACTGTAAGTACATGTACAGTGCAAAACTTATGTTGACTATAGACATTTTCATGATCGTATTAAGATTTTATTCATTCTGATGACTATTCCAGGCTTGGAAATCACACTTTTGAAACTCCCTGACATTCCATGACTTTTAAGACAGGGTTCCCACGCTTTCTGAATTTCCATGTTATTCCCATTACATTTCTGGTCGTGCGAAAAGCGGATACCAATTTCTAGCTGAAGAAATACTAACTACAAAAAAAAAATAGTTGACTATAGACGTTCCCTTTACTTTAAAAAAAAATAAAAAAATTTTAAGATGTTTTGACATTCCCCTGATATTTCAATGTGTTCCAGGACTTTTTTTTTTTTTATATGATTTTAGGAATTTCCCATTTTTTCTAGGTGTAAAAATACCAATTTTAAAATTCCCTATTTCCAGGTGTTCCAAGAATGTGACAATCCTGAATTTATATGTATGTGTTAGATTAGGCTATAAAACAAATAATAATGGAAAAACAAACATTTAATATAATAGTGTCTACAAATGAGTACAATTGTAATTTCAATCAAATACCTGATTTTAGTTCAGAAGTTTGGTCTCTTTGAGAACTGTTGCTGTTTATCATGAGATTGTATGCTTCTTCGTGTGCCGGCTTTGGTTTTTCATACTCTCTGCGATTTGTCTTGTGAAGATGAGAGTGTCCAGTGTGAGAGTGACCCCCATGAGAGTGTCCGTGCCCACCAAACCCTGCGTGTCCGTGGAACAGGAAAAGACCGAGTACATTCACCAGGAGACCAGCAACGCCGACCCAAATGACCACGCGCGGATTCTCGATCTCGTGAGGCAGCGTGTAGCGCTCAACGGCTTCTAATACAATAGTGAAGCAGAGGGCCGTCAAAAACACGGCGTTCACTAACGCTCCCATCACTTCTGCGCGGATCCATCCATACGTGTTTATACTTGTGGCACCAGTTGTCTCCGCAAAACTCACCGCGATTAAAGCCACTATCAAAGCTATTACATCCGACAGCATGTGAAAAGAGTCTGACAACATTGCGAGAGATGCAGTTATCCTGCTTACCACAACTTCAACAATGAAAAACACAAGCGTTAAAGACAGCATACACAGCAAACGCACCCGATTCGGTCCCAAACCCATTTTTGTCTTCAACAGCAAAACAAAAAAAGTACTTTAGTACTTGTAATAATTTACATTTCGTGACAAAAACGGTTTTAGATGTCTATGGCATTAACAAGATATTAATGTTGAAAATAAACGCGTAAACGCTGTTGCTATTGGCAACTCACGGCTTGACAGTTGCGCGACGCACTAGACAGAAAACTCAGCACAGCGAAACATCCATTCATACTTCTACAGAAACACCGGCCGCTATAGACTGATGATGGATGATTCTCTAGGACAAGTTAAACGAAACTTGAGACTTTGCACCCGGTGAAGTTCTCCACACGGTCTGAGCGGGGGACACGCAGTCCCAGTGGCCGAGTGTGACTGAACGCCGGAGTCACGTGGTCAGCGAGAACACATTCTGAAGCCGGTCAAAAACAATGTAAATCATAGCAATCAGTGCAAATGGGTGGAAATTACTCCGAGGTGTGCACGGATTAGATCCACTGGTAATAACGAAAGATTATCATTAGCCATAAACTTAATGATTTTAATTCTGAGTCACATTAGTATGATTACCAAGCCTGAAAGTTCAGTATTGTGCTGCGTGCAGTAATATTAACCATGTTCTGTTCGAAATGACTATTATTATGACTATTATGATACAATTATTTTTGGACCCAAAATTCTGAGAAACTCAAATGCCGATAGATAGATAGATAGATAGATAGATAGATAGATAGATAGATAGATAGATAGAATACAATGATGATGAAACAAGCATTATCATATAGCAGTTTTGTGACCGTATATTTTGCAGCCCCCATCTGTATGTGTAATTAAATTATACGTATATGTTAATATTCCACCCTGTTTTAAATTCAGGACATGTGAAAATGTGATATGTCAGATAAGAATAGTACGATTAGGGTATCTAACCATTATAACATTCACTCTAAAAAATGCTGGGTTAAATATAACCCAGCGCTGGGTTAAAAAGGGACAAGCCCAGCTATTGGGTTGTTTTGAACCCAACAGCTGGGTCAAAACAACCCAATAGCTGGGCTTGTCCCTTTTTAACCCAGCGCTGGGTTATATTTAACCCAGCATTTTTTAGAGTGAATGTTATAATGGTTAGATACCCTAATCGTACTATTCTTATCTGACATATTACATTTTCACATGTCCTGAATTTAAAACAGGGTGGAATATTAACATATACGTATAATTTAATTACACATACAGATGGGGGCTGCAAAATATACGGTCACAAAACTGCTATATGATAATGCTTGTTTCATCATCATTGTATTCTATCTATCTATCTATATATATATATATATATATATATATATATATATATATATATATATATATATATATATATATATATTAGTATTTTAGCATTTACTATCATCATCGTTATATTTTTATGGTAACGTTTCCCCCTGCAGAATTAAGTGTATTTTCGAGCTATTAAATTATTTTGACTTCTCTCAAACCCTTAACAAACATGAAGGTTGTCACATAAGCCTAGTCTAATTTTTGACCATAATTAACTCTTTTAGCCATATACCATTTTTGTGCTCTATTACTTATAATAACTTAATCACCAATAATCTCATCATTGAATGATTATAACCTGCACACCGAATGCGTCAGCACCTCACGCAGAGAGAAAGCATGCTAGTCTACCTATCAGCAGCGCGCTCTGTCTATTGTCTGCGAGGAGCAGGGCGTGTGCCGCCGGAGCAGGAGATGCGCGGGGCTCGGTTCATGAAGCGGAGTGTAATGATGGCGTTGGACCAACATGTTCTGCGCTGCTGTTTTCATAGGATAGACATACATTTGCCGCATTCAAATGCGCATGTGTAGGTTGCATGTGAATGTGCGTATTGCATTATTGCATTTAATCCTTCCTCGCATTCATATATAACATAGCAGAATATTAAAGACGTGCAGGCTTTTTCATAGAAATGATGAAGAGAAATAGCCTATTGCGACCGCGATCCATGTCGATTGGCAAGAAATCAGAGGCGGTGAAGGTGGTGGTGCGTTGCCGCCCTTTAAACAAGAAGGAAGAGGCAACGAATCAAGAAAGAATTGTTGAAGTAGATGTCAGATTGGGACAGGTGAGCGTGCGTAATCCCAAATCATCCGGAAGCCTCTTAAAAACATTCACGTTTGATGCCGTCTATGACGTGGGTTCGAAACAAAACGAGCTGTATGACTATGCATGCAAACCTCTTATTGACTCTGTTTTGCACGGGTTCAACGGAACTATATTTGCTTATGGGCAAACTGGCACTGGCAAAACATATACAATGGAAGGTGTGCCCACAGACCCCGAGAGGAGGGGAGTCATCCCAAATTCATTTCAGCACATTTTCACTCACATATCCAGGTCTCAGAACCAACAGTATCTTGTGAGAGTGTCTTACATTGAAATATATCAAGAAGAGATACGAGACCTTCTCTGCAAGGACAACAATAAAAAACTGGAGCTCAAGGAAAACCCTGAGTTGGGTGTTTATGTCAAAGATCTCTCATCTGTGGTGACTAAGAACATAAAGGAGATTGAGCATGTCATGAACTTGGGGAACCAATCAAGATCTGTCGGATTTACCAAAATGAATGAGCGTAGCTCAAGATCTCATGCAATTTTTGTCATAACTATTGAATGCAGCGAAATGGGAATTGATGGTGAAGACCACATTCGTGTTGGAAAGTTAAACATGGTGGATCTGGCCGGCAGTGAGCGGCAAAGCAAAACAGGAGCGCAGGGACAGAGGTTTAAAGAGGCTGCAAAAATAAACTTGTCGCTTTCAGCTCTTGGAAATGTTATCTCGGCTTTGGTGGATGGGAAGAGTACCCACGTACCCTACCGGGATTCCAAACTCACCCGGCTGTTACAGGACTCCCTCGGAGGCAACTCAAAAACAGTTATGGTGGCCACCGTTGGACCAGCTTCGTGCCACTACGATGAGACGCTCACCACACTGAGGTACGCCAACAGAGCGAAGAACATCAGGAACAAGCCAAAGATCAACGAGGACCCCAAAGACGCCCTGCTCCGTGAGTTCCAAGAGGAAATAGCCCGGCTGAAGGTGCAGCTCGAGGAACGAGGGATGCTGGCGAAAGAAAGGAGGAGACGGAGGAGAAACAGTATGAGGATGAAGAGGAGCATAAGCAGCGGAGAGGTGGAAACTCCAAGGGATGGAGAGGTGGGGGTCGTCGAGACGGTTCAGGAGGAGAGTGTGGAGGACTATTGGTGGAAGCAGCAGATGGCCAAGACCTCTGCCAATTACAAGCCTGATATTAGCAGGAAACTTGGCATCGTAGACGAGAAAGCTAAGACTGTGGAAGAGTTGCTGAAGGAGCAACAATCCGTGGAAATTTTGATTGAAAAATACAAGGTTAGTTCTTTCCACACAGTTTTTTTCTTCATGCAGATTATACACTAAATCATTCATAAACCACATCATATACTTTGTGCCATGTTTTTTGTAGGCTATAGAAAGTAAGCTTCTGGTTGGAGGGAAAAACATCATTGACCACACCAATGAACAGCAGAGAATGCTGGAACTGAAGAGGCAAGAGATTGCTGAGCAGGTGACCGTAGTACAAAAGTAGCCATAGAATACACAGCAACATAAAAACACTTGAAGAATCAGAATCTCTTATGTGCGTGTGATAAATCCTTCTAGGATAGAATGGAAAGAGAGATGCAGCAGCTGATGTTTGAACAGGATGAAGAGACAATTGAACTGAAAGAGACGTTCACCACTCTACAGCAAGAGGTGGAATTTAAGACCAAGAAACTTAAAAAGGTACATAAGGTCGCTGACACACACACACACACACACACTGCTCACTGTTTTTGAAGCAGAACGAAATGTAAGTCTAGCACATTATATGTTAGACTTACGTGTAAGGAATACTCAATTCTGATTATCTTTGAAATATTTTTTAATATAAAAGTGGTTCTCAACCAACTAGGGAATCTCCGAAAACTTCCAAGGCTCCAATAACTCTTAAACATATTTAAATTTAGTATTAAAAATTAGTGGAAATGATCACCTTATGAGGACAGGAGGTTCTTTGAATATTATCAAAGGAGGGCCTTGAGTCAAAAAGGTTGAGAGCTAAACTGTATAATTGACATCTCCAGCTACTTTTGATTTAAATCAATATTTTATGGCCAGATTTTTTATTTATTTGGCATGTTTTCATAAATCTTATTATGTACAATAGGCACAATAAGCAAGGTCCTGATACCTGGTTTATTTAGTGATAATATCTGGCTCATTGTACATTATCCCTGTCAAAATTTGTTTATGGTTTACTGTAATATTTAGACTGATATTTAGACCTTTAGACTGCCTGCTTAAAACGTTTAGCTTGTGATTTTTAATCAATTCAATTAATTTTAATCATCAAAATCAACCATTCAAGCAATTTTCAATCGTGCTTTCAAGGCCACCGTTCATTAGAATGTACTGTTTTTTATTCACTTCTTTAAATTATGTTCGTAACATGGGTATTTGATGCTCATAGGAAAAGCACAACTAACCCTGTTTAATGTTATGTTATGTTATAAGTGCTTATATTTAAGTCTTATTTTCACTCCAGTCAACACTGCATTGGTTGTTTGTCTCAGTTTTACAGTAAGCTGCAGCTGGTGAGGTCTGAGATTGGAGATATCATCAATGAACATGTTACAATGAGGCAGGAACTGGAGCAGACAATGAATGAGCTGACAAGAGAGATGAAATTCAAGTATGTCCCACCTGTCCTCACAGTTTTATTCTGAAATAAGCTATAAAAAGACAAAACGCCTGTACATGCCGTGATGTTTTTTTTTTTCTCTTGTCCCTTTGTATTTTTTTTTACCAGAAACCTGATTATTGAGAACTTCATTCCTCCAGAGGAAAAGAATAAGATCATAAATCGTCTCCACTTCGACAGCGAGGAAGACCAGTGGAAAGTCTTACCTCTTCTTCCTTCCGAAAAGTACGTAAAATAAAAGCTTTCTTCCTAACATTACAGTAAAAAAAAGGATGATGATATTTGTCACGAATCCGGTCCGTGGGCTTCAGGCCGATTGCCACTAGAGGTTATTCTCCCATTACATTGACTCTCACGCCACACAGACTGTTACACATCACCCTGGACTGCATTTCCCATCAACCATTGCACTGATTACACGCACACAGCTGAATGCACTGATCACACACACACACACAGCTGAATCCAATCAGACATGCTACTTAAGCCATGGACTTCCTCTCTCTCACGGCCGAGTATTGTTCCGCATTTTTCACTCCCCTAGTGTTAACAGCCTTACTGAGCCATTCTGTGTTTTCTGTTTTAGTCTTGTGTATTGTTTTGCGTGTATCCCTGTTTAGCGGATAGTTCCTTACCGAGCCTGTTTAAGTTTTCTTAGTCTAGTCTGAGTCTGAGTCTTGCCTTTTCTGTTTTCCTGGTCTCTGATTCACACCACGTCTCTTGGATTAACCCTTTGCTTGCTGTTTCTGACTCTGTTTGCCCCTGCTAGGACCTTTGCCTTCTACCTGGATTTATCTCTTGTCTTGCCTTCGATATACCCGTTTGCCATTGTCTGACCCATGCCTGTTAAAACCACGTCTCTTAATAAAAGCTTGCACATGGATCCTCACG